GGGTGGTGGTGGTGGTGGTTGGTTCCTCTACTATGTGAAGAGTAGAAAGTAACAAATTATGGAGGCGGTTTAGAGTTTTCAGTTTTCACGGCCGACGTAGGGGTAAGGTCTACGCACACACTATCCTTCCCAGGCCCCACGTGTGGGAATTCATTGGACTTGTTGTTGTTTAGAGTTTTCACTGTGAATGGCTATTTCAGCATGGAACCAAACTGCGTTTGACCGAACTCTTTCCCATTATTGGAGACGGCTAATTTTGATGCTGTATTTTTAGATACTTTCACAAATCTTGAAAAGAACATTTAGATAATTTTCTTAGGACATGACAACTAAAGAAAAGCCAATGTATTTAAAGAACCAAGTATGCTAGCCATGAAACAGCATATATCATATATGACAAGTGAACATCTGAATATCAAACGTTAAAAACACGAGAAAAAATGTTAAAGGGGAGGGGGGATAAATAGTCTCTGGTGTATCTGTTGCATAGACACAGCACAGACACAAGATGAGGCAATTCTAACAAAGCTCTAAATCAAAATTATTGCATGCTTGCTCTCAGTGCAAAAGCAGTGTTAATTTGCAGAGTTAAATGTGAACGGTTTGAAAGTAATATACTACAGTGCTAGTCAGAATTTCACCATTGACGGCTATTTCAGCATGGAACCAAACTGCATTTGACCTCACTCTTATCACATTATTGGGGACAGATAATTTTGGCCCTGTATACTTCCACAAACATTTAAAATTAACATCATCTGTCACTACTACTACGCTTCAATCTCCAACTAGTTGGGATCGCTCTATGGATCCTCACTGACTATTTCACTCTATTTGGACCCATTTGAAAGTACTTTTCCAATATTCAGTAACTTGAGGTTTTCTACCTCTTACTACATATACATCTCTATACAGACTGAAAATTTTCATAGCATGCATCGAACCTAATATAACACTAAGCATGTCATCATGTCTGAGCCTCATATAAATAAATTTTCTAAGTACATGAAAACTAAAATTATGAAAATCACCATGCAAGCATGCCAAGAAAGAGCAAACATCAAATTTGACAAGTTAATATGTGCATATGAATACTAAACGGTAATGACACACAAAAATAAAAATAAAAGTTGATTGATTGGTTGGAGAAAAAAAAAAGAGAAAGTACATATATACTTCTTATATAGAATTTTACAAATATTTTGACCCACTTACCTTTCCATTTACAACTTACTTGACCATTTCCTTCAGCGAAATTCTTTTTCATCTTTCAAATTCTGAAGTGTATATGACCAGTTCTAGATTTTATAACCAGTCTTTAATGTGATTCACCTTAACACCAACAACAATGACCAATTTAATTCTTGATCTATTCCAAAAAGTATGATGTCTTACACGAATGAACATTATTCTTCCTCTAATAAATTAATCTAGTAATCACTATATCCCAAATTCTATGACATTCTTCCCATTTTGTGGCGTCCCAAATATTTCACACCATTCTACTGATAATATGTAATTTATAGACTCATTAGTTTTTAGAATTCAAATCTTTTTTTTTTTTTGATTTGCACCGGGTGTCCGAGTCTCTAAGAGCCCCGACTAATCCCGGGGGTGCACAGGCCCTCGGCAAGGAGTTTCCCACAAGTGCACCACGGTTAATTCAGGTTTTACCCAGTCCGATGGCCCTCAGAAATTGTTTGCACCCAGTGGGTATCGAACTTGAGACCTTGAAAGGGAGCAAACCCCAAGGCTCAAGTCTATTGCCACCAGGCCAACCCCTGAGGGTTTAGAATTCAAATCTATTCACCTATCAAACTTATTAGATGAGAAAGTTTCTCTTCTAATCTTGTTCTTTCTACTCTAGTAATTTATATAATAGACAAGTCAAATGATATCTTATACTACATGTTCAGCTACATGGTACCACCTAAATTGAACGAAACGAATAAAACCTTACATCATTACTCAATTTTTTATGTTATTATAAACACTTCTTTATTAACCTTGGTATAATAATCTTAAACATCTTATCTCAAAATCCACACAAGTCAAAGTAGGTATTTCTATTGGGATGAAGGAGTACTTTTGACGAATTACTTCATTTAACTCATTTTTAGTTATTATTTTAACATGCCCTAATAACTCGAATATATTTTTCTTTTCTTAATCCCTAAACTAGTTAAATTAAATAAATAGAGCACTAAACATGCAAATGAATCATATCCCCTCTACAGAAAATCCTTCTGGAAAGCTCCAGGACTTCAAGCTCTTTAAGGTTCATTCTCCCTAATAGTGAGGTTTCCAGTACATTTCGTGTTAGCACATCCTCATATATTGAGTTATTGCAGTAAAAAATGTTGGAGAACAATACTTCCAATGTTTCTCCTGTTTTTTTTTTTTTGAAATTAAGTGCGTTTATTTTATTCACAAAATAAATTGCACCAAGATGCTTACTATATTACATTTCTAGAGAGCACAAAGAAGCTGTAAAATCGTCTAAGCCATTCACATTTTCACGTTAAGCAAAACTATAAAGTGCTGAAGCATCTAGCTTTCTAAGACAGTCTCACCCCTTCAACACATCTTCAATTTCTTTGGTTTCCATAATGTCCATCCTATACATAATACCTTGCCATGCAATTTAACAATCAATCATTTTCTTTGGCATTGTCCATTCCAATCTACACAAAAGAGAGAAACATACTACACGTTTCAAGTGCCACTTCACAGTGCAATAAATGCCTCTTTGGCAGGGCATTTGTTGTCCATATGGATTACCATGGAAATTGATTACCCTCAGCTGTTTACCAGCAATGCGTAGAATGACTTGACTGAGAATTTTAGGTGGGACTCTTGGCAAATTTCATCTACCATTGAAGATAGTTTTCCCAAATATAGATTTTCTAACTGATGCACAATCTCAAACTTCCGGTCATTATGTTGTCTTCTAAAATTTCGCTCCCAGACATGACTTTCATTATTTCTCTAACATGAAGAAGCGATATACCTATAAACAGTTAACCTAAAATAATCCGATGAAATATGAAACTCTACTTACTAAAACATATAAATCTACACGTCAAATCATGAAACTCCTGTGATGTGGTTGATGCTCAGACAAGCACCAAATTAGTCATATATGTAACATAGACTTGTGGCCTAAACAAAGTTCCTGCACAAATGCAGCGACCTACAACCATCTTTAGTGTATATAGAATCAGCAACATAATAGGGGTAACCTGAAGCAGCACATATAATGTAAAATTACTCATGAAATCTAATGAGCAACCAGATAAGAATAAGGAAGTTACTACTTGACCAAGTTACAGCTAAGCATTAATTATCCAAGTAGTACATGATATGATAACTAATTCAGATTCACAAAGGTACAATGATGAAAATGAATTTGGTGCTAAGACATATAAAGAATGATGAGTTAAGTCTCATTGGTCAAGAATTGGAAGGCGAGAGACAGAAGACATTAGTAAGGTTCTGGTGCACTTCACAAATCACAACTACGTGTGCATGCCAATGCTTCTAACCCACCGCTTCTCAACTGTACATATTCAGGTTTTTTTTTTAGTTTGATCAGATTCCACTGTGCATGTCCCTTTCTGTCTTACCAAATATAAAAAAATAGAAAAATTACTCCTAATAAATAAGGATACCTGTATTGGTCTGATGGAATGACCATCCAATTGGCTTGCACAGTTTATACACGCAACACCTCCATAATCCATGTACTCATACAAATATTTTGAGGCAATACACCCACAGTGGATAAGCTGCCAGATCAAATGAAGATAGAATCAAAAACACTAGTTAACCATGCAAATCGACTACATGATTCAGTGACCAACCTTTCTACATGTTTTACATTCCCTCCAACCAGATTCCTCCGAGTGGAATGTTTCACAGAAAACTAAATTCTCAAAAGCAGATCTGCAGTCAGAAATGACGAGACGTCACAAAACTTTGGTTTACTGATTGCATAAATAACTAGTACTAATAAATAGCTACGCAACAACATCACAAAAAGTAGAAGTCAATTATATGTCAAGACTGACGAAAAGGCTCCTCATTGGTGACCCTTGTATGATAGAAGGGTGAATGAAAGAAATTAACAAACAAAAAAAATATGAGCCTGAAGCAACAACGATTTCATACTAGGGAGCTCTAGCCTCTAAGAAAGAAGTTGAATTCCCAGGCTATAAGCACATATACTTCTGATTCCAAGAACCAAACAGTTGATAATGAGGCTGGCATACCATTTGTCATGGGAAGAACAACAGAGCAAAAAAGTAGTATTGCCTCAGACTCAAAGTTATTTTCGGCAGATATTATCTTAGGACTCGATGTATTAAACTATAACAACCATAGTGTTTAAGCGATAACATGGAAATATATCAGCCTAAAACTTAATGAAAAATCTCATCTATATTTGCAATGACCACTAAACCATCATGTAAAACTCATTTTTCTCTAGTTAAAAGCTTAAAAATAACAAAATGAGAACAAAAGGGCCCATACAGTCCTTTGACTTATGACTCCCCCTCCTTCCTCCACAGAAGGCTTCCATTATTTCACTTGAAGACATAACTATTACAGCTCCTATTTGACAGAAATTGCAGATAACAGAAAAAATAATGCCAAAAATGTAACATTTGACTAAAAATCATAAATTTAGGAACAATTCCAAAATGCAACAAACAGAGAAGAAAAACAAAAACTCCCCTCTATTTCAGGGATCCAAAAACCCCCACATCCCCAAACTGCCCTTGCATCAGAAAATCTAACTGATAAAGAAAAATTAGTCAACGACAAAGCTAAAATTAGAACAGAAAAATTACCCGCAATTATAGCAAAGCTTTGCAAATCCACCAGATTTCAAGCTCCAACCTTTCTTCCATTCAGACGACGTCGTTGCACGACAAAGCTCATTCATGCAAATCATTGACCCCATTTTAGTTCCACCCAAAAAATCAAAACTTTAACAACAAATCTTATTAATCAACTCTTAAATCAACCAAAACCCTAAATAAAAACCGTTAACAAATCATTGACCCAGATCAAATAAACCCCACGAAACTCCAAAAAAAATAAATTAACTCCAGCACTAGACATGCAAATGAGCATAAAATTATAGAATCTTGAACTGAATCTTAAGCCAACAAAAAAAAGTGGGTCAAAGTAACTCTGTGAAAAAAATAACGGCGGTGGTCGGTGGCGGTGGTCGGTGGCGGGTTATAGTTTCGATGAAGATAAATAGAACAGAGATTTATAGATACAATTATACAGGTGCAGATTTACATATATATAGAGAGAGAAAGGAAGTATTGTAGAGATTTTTAGAGAGAGAAAGTTGCATGCAGTGGAGAAAGGAGCAAAAATGGATGCAACAAAATGCATGCACGACACTTGAAGACACCGCAAGGTCATCTGTTGTCTACTACTTACATAATTTTTTCCTTTTTCATAGTTTTTAACCAACAATTAATTTTTGTTTAATTTTATTTTCTTTATTTTTTATTTAGGTTTCTGTCTAATTTTCGGACAGTGATACGATGACCCTATGCTTTCGTAGATTCCAATGTCTCTTTTTGGTATTATGACGTCAAAAATATTCAAAATTTGTAGTGGCAATGGTAAGTCAAATTTTACTATACTCAGCATTGACTAAAATTACCCTAAGTAGGGTAAATTTTGACCAGGACGGATCTTGACTCTTTTTTTAATCAACAATGGATTTAGTGGGCGTTGGACATAAGAATTGTAAAATTTCAAAAAAAAGTGAAAAAAAAATTCAAGTGAAAATGGTATTTGAAAATTAAAGTTGTGTTTGAACATGAATATAATTTTGGGTTGTTTTTGAAGTTTTGTGAGTGATCCGAGTGAAAATTTTAAAAAATAGCTTTTTGGAATTTTTCAAATTTTCGAAAAATTCCAAAATTTATCTTTAAGTGAAAATTGAAAATTTTATGACCAAACACTGATTCCGAAAAAGGATAAAAAAAATCTTATGTCCAAATGTGCTCTTAGACCATCAACAAGAATGTATCGTGTCAAATCTTTTTAACTATCATGTAGCTCGACTTAAGAATATAAATAAAAAGTGTATTTGTATGTATTACAAGCTTTGATTTTTGATTGGTTTGTTTGTTATTGTCTCTTCCATTTATTTATTTTTTTATCCCCGGGTCTATCGAAAATAATTTCTCTACTTTCTTAAATATAGGCGTAAAGTTTGTGTACACACTTCCTCCCCATACTTCACTTGTGAAATTACAATGGCTATATTGATATTGTTGTTATTGTATGTATTACAAGAACAATCCTGAGCAAGTTAAAATTGACTACATAAATTATCTTTGTTCATGCATGCTAACATATTGATTAACTCTGCTCAAATTCATTCACGTCCAATATTACAATGTAACATATTGAACAAGTCAAAACATATTACATATCTACATTCACTCCAAATAATTATGAAACGATTTCTTATAATTTTGGAAGTGGTAAGGAATTTCTTATATAGTTTTTCATCTTATTTTTCCTTCAACGTGATTATGACTTAGAATATCATATTGACCATGTCGTATGAACATTTCAATTGTGACAAGGAAACATATTTTTAAGTGGCATCATTTCACACCAGAACAAATTGTAATAGTGACCTCTTGAATCTGACTTAATCCATTTTAGTCTTAAGCTTTATGCCACTGCCCGACATTTTATATATTCCTTATTACTTTAAATATTTGTCATGATACTTTTAATGTAGTTTCTATTTATCTAAATTTTACGTAAAAAAAATATATCAATGGGAAATTGATATTCAACTGAGACCGAAAAATATTAGAGTGTGATCATCTTATCTCGAATTTTAAGTTATTAGAGAGTATCATACTTTTATTTAATTCGTTATATTTTCAACAACTCCAAATTCCTTCCTTTTTTTTTTTAAAGGAAGAGAGTATATGAAAAGTGAAACTAAAATAAATACCATTAAGCAAGATGAACTTTATAACTCACTTACTGTTACCATTTTTTTTTTTTTTTGCTTCATTATTAAATCGATAGACTTTGGTCACGCCCAAAGCAAGCAGGTCAAACTAAAATCTGATTACAAATGACCTTGGTATTTAGATATCTCATAATAGGTGAATTTAACTATAATCACGCCTTAAATAACCACCTTCTTGGATAGTTTTGATGATAAAAGTGATAACAAAATGCTCTTATTAGTGCTTTTCATGATTTGCAAGTGATATATGACCAGGGAAGGCTAGGGAGTATTTTTGGAGTCAAAAATGAAGAAAAAGAGGCCAACTCTGAAATTTTCCAAGTAAACCACGCAAAACAGGCCTGAAGATTCAGGGACCTGTGTTGACCGCGGTTCCACCGCGACCGCGGTAGAACCGCGGTGGAAGAGAGCTGCGGATAAAATGAGATTCAGAGAAGGCATTTGGCCGCGGTTTGACCGCGACCGCGGCAAAACCGCGGCGGAAGCAGAAAACTTGAGGGACTAAAGTGTAAAACACGGAATTTTTAGACCTAAACCCTATTTTAAATACGGGACTTCGCCCAAGAGAGGCATGTATTGAATTTTAGAGTATCTTGGCAAGAAAAACTATTGTGAGAGAATACCCACAAACATAGTTCTTCTTTTCTTTGATTTTTATTGCTAGTTATGATGAATTCTATCTTAGTTTGTTTTCCCATAGCCATGAGTAGCTAAATCCTTTGTCTAAGGCTTTGATGGAACCTATTGGGGGATGAACATCTTGTTTATGTGAATACAAATTGCTAGTTTCAATCTCTATTTGTTCAACTTTGTGCTTGTTGTAGTTAATTGACAGGATCCTCAATTAGCTGTGCCTATTTAGTGTGCATAACTTGGAAAAGAGTGCATATTTAGGTTATTGTTGAACAACACCACTCCCAAAGTATAAGAGGAATCTATAATTACGGGTTTAAAGGCGGGATTAGGGATAACGAAGCCTTGGGTGTAATTTAAAGTGAAGTGTGCGAAATAAAGTAAGCTAGTGTATCTCGGGAGAGTGCAATTAGTATATTACTGTGATTACTCGGGAGAGATTTACGGTAAGATGAACGTTCATGATTGATAGAGATGTGTTGGTAAATTTGTATGAGCATAAACAGAAGGGATTCTTTCAATAGGGGAAATCATTGCCTTAGCTTCTTCTCATCATTGGTTACAACCTTAGCATTTTAATTTACAGCTGTTTAATTTACTTGCAATCGTAGTTAGTAAAGCAACCTTCAACTGTAATTCAAACATCTGGGAAACTGGTTCTGAAGAGTTTAGTGGGTCTAAAGATAGTGATTGATAGGTTAACTCTCTGTGGATTCGACCCTGGGCGTAATACTCGGGTTATATTTGCAACGTCCGCATTGTCCTTTTTATAAGGCATAGTTGGGCGTGATCAAATTTTGGCGCCGTTGCCGGGGAGCCCAAAGCGCGCGAAGTCTCACGCCCTTCGCGCACTTTAGACTCGTTAGGCAGAATGGTGCGCGAAATGTGCGCGAAGTCGCGCGGTGTTCGCGCGCTTTGGGCTCCCCGGGCAGAATGGTGCTCGAAATGTGCGCGAAGTGGGCACAAAGTCGCGCCCTGGGCGTTTATTTTTGCATTTTTTTTTTCTCGACTCAGTCCCTCAAGAACCCCGTCGAAAGGGATCCGTCGTCGGGAAGAGTCACCTATCTATTGTAAACTAATGATTACTACTTTCTACCAACACTATCAACGTCAAAAAGCACAAAACAAGATAAAACCTAACAAGCAATTCATACACATACATACATACATACAACGAAGTACCCCACCCCACACTTAATGATAAAGACATGTCCCCATGGCTTAAATTTTAAAAGAGCAGTGAGGTAAAGAGACTTCCCTGGAGCTTCACTCTTGGTCGGAAACGGTTTCGGGGTTCACGTGGCACGCACGCCCCAAATCTCGCAGCCAACCCATGAACTTCTTTTCCGACTTGACTTGTCGGTCAGCTATCTCATCCACACGAGTGCCCAACTCAGTCATTGATGAGCGTAGTCCAGCCACCTCCTGCTCCAATGCTGTGAACCTGGACACCCTGGCAGTCCCTAAAGAGGACGGTGCTCCTGACGGTGCTGCTGGTGCTGGCTCCTCCATGTGTTCATCCGCGTCCTCCGACGATGCATCAGAATCAGAATCACTCTCATCCCTTCCTCCTGCTGCCGCTGGGCCTGGTTCTGTGATGTTCTTGCCAGGTCGGATTATGTGGTCTTTTTTAAGCAGCCCGCCCACACTAATATTTTCGGGCACTTGCGCTTGACGGCAGAGCTTAGTCACCAAGGAGGGGAAAAAGAAACCATACTTGCATAGGGGTCACCGGATAAACATCTCATCGTGAATCACTTTGGCCATGTCGAAGGGCAGACCCTTGACGAAACACCAAATCAATGCAGCGCGGGGTCCATTCACCTCCGTAGTATTTTTGGAGGGGATGAGGCGACTGTTAATCACATATAACCAGCACTTCGCCTCTGTAGTTAAAACGGAGGAGTGGAACTTCTCACCGCTTTCCAGCCACTCCACCGTTCTCCCGTGTATGCAAATTGAGTCAAAGAAGCAATTCCACTTGGCGTCTGTTGGGTGGTTGGACCACTCATAAAAATCCGTATTGTCAGGCAGAGGGTCAGGCAATTGATATGCAGTGCGTATCGCCTCAACTGAGGCATCCACCGTCCTTTGGCGCACCATGACCACCTTGTCCACATGATCAGGCAGATTGGCATAAAATTCTCGAACGACCATGACATTAGCCTCCTCTGGCTCATCAATGAAAAACTGCAGACCCCGCTCCATCAACTCCGAATACATATGTGGGCAGCGTGTCTGGACCGAACGGAGGTCAATACCCCTCTCCGGAACTGGTGTTTTGATGGCCTTCTGCGTAAAACGGGTCTGAGCCGCAGAGGAGACAAATTTACTGCTGTCGTAGGCAGGGGCTGCTCTTTGGCGGCTTGAGGAAGGACCTGTGGCTTGGCGCTTCTTCGATGGTGCCATAGTACCTATTGGGGGAGAAGTCGTGAGAGGGGAGAAGGGGATAGGAATTCTTGAATTTGGGGAAGGAATGTGGAGAGGTCTTTGGGGAGGGTTTTGTGATTGTGAAATTGGGGAGAGGAGTGATGAATGGGGGGAAGGGGAAAGGGTATGTGTTGTATTAGAGGTGGGTTGTAAACAAATTAAAACACAAAAAAAATAAAAATTAAAAAGAAAACACACTAAAAAAAATGCCGGAAATTTCCGGGGGGGGG